TAGACTAGCACCTTCGGAGGTTGTGATTTTTTGAAAAAGGGAAAAGTCTTTTGTTGCTTTGTATCTTGGCACCTTGATGCGTTTTGTTATAATCTTGTTGTTTCCCTTTTTCCTTTTAAAATGATTTGATAAATCCATTCCAACTTGATGTAACTATTGTAATCTTTTATGGAATCTGAAAATTTACTTTACTTTTAATTGATTTCATGGCTTATGTGTATAGTTGCACTTTGCCCTACATCTTTAGATTGATAATAAGACATGAATAGTAGTAGATGTGATCGAGATTGTATTTGAAAGCGTAGGCAAACTTGAGATCTTGGAGATGACTAGGAATTGGGACTAAATCGAGAACTTGGTGTTGAAGTTGGGACCCAATATTCAATTGCCAAATTGATGTATCAAATTATGAGATTTGAGTTTGTGAAAAGAAATATTTAATAGATTTAATGAGTCTAACGATCAAGGGACCGGATATCATATTTAGAATGGAAGATTGAGGCTATATATATAGACTATCGAAACTTGAACGATGTGACCATTAAGAATAAATACTCCATTACCTCACATAGATGGGAATTTTATTCAATAGCAAGGAGCCGTAATACTATCCAAGTTGAGGTTAAAGTAGAGCTATTACCAAATAGGAATCTTAGGAACTGATGTGCTTAAAATCGCTCCCAATTCAAGATAGGGACACTTTGAATTTTCAGTTATACCCTTTAGATTGACTAATGCACTAGTAGCAATTATGGGCTTAATACATCAGGGTTTTAAACCGTATTTGGATTCATTAGTGGTGACATTTATTGATGATATATCGGTAAACTCTAATGTTTGAAAAGATTATGAAAGACACCTGATGATAGTTTTACAAACTCTGAGAGAACGCTAACTTTCGTTAAGTTCAATAAATGTGAGTTCGAATTAGAAGAAATAGCCTTTCTAGATTATACAATATCTAAGGAAGGAATTGTTATTGATACGGTTAAAGTGGAAGTTGTTTAAGAGGAAACGACTAGAAAATCCTACCAAAATTTGGAGTTCTTAGAGATAGCCAAATATTACCGTTGGTTTGATCAAGAATTTTTCTAAGAGTGCAAGACTTGGCAAGTTCTTTGGGATTCTAATTGGAATAGAAAAATGTTTAACCAATGCTCCTCTGTTAACCTTACCGAGTGGAGGAGGTGATTTTGTGATTTATACCGATGCTTCAAAGGATGGTTTAGAATGTATATTAAAAATACATGATGAGGTGATTGTATATGCCTCTAGAAAATTTAAATACCACGAGAGAAAATAGCCAACTCATAAGTGGGAGTTAGTGGCTATAATATTTGCATTAAAGAAGTGAAGACATTACCTATATGAGATAGACATGAGGTCGATTACGTTGCCCTATGACTTGAAAGTTAAAATGCCTATTGAGGAAAAATCAAGGTTTGATTACTAGTTGAATGAATAGAAATTGTGAAGTATAAGTTGAAAAAACGTAGGTTAGTGATTGATCTGATAGACTTAACCATGAAGGGAATGATATTGTCTTAGATATGAATTTCGAGGACGAAATTCTTTTTAAGAAGGGGAGGATGTGAGAACCCAAAAAATTTCTTATTTTTATCGAATATTATTGGTTTATTTAAATATTTATTCACATGTTCTCTCCGAATAATTTATTTCAACATTTTTAAGTCCATTCATATGGAACAATGTTTTCCTTATGTTTTTAAAACGTCCTGTTAGCAAATTTAATTTTGGAGGATCGTTTAAGTGAGGAATAATAAGTACATGTGTTTCGAGGTGATATTCTATTCGAGAGTGCAATTATCTTGGGGTATTAAGAATGATCAATAATAGATAAAGAAAAGTTAATTGAGGAATTAAATGTAAATGAGTTCTAATGAAGTGCATACCGCTCACGCATCGATAGTTTTCCGAAAGATGCGCTGATTCAAATTTATTGGAGATTTGAGGAAGTAATACTAGACTCATGTGAGGACTCGGAAAATTACTTATTTTAAATTCCTATTGCTAGCTTATTTAAATATTTATTGGGCCATTTACTCCAAATATTTTATTTCGACCTTTTATTACTCAATTACATAGAATGATAGCTCACATGTATTTTTAAAGTGACTCTTTCCAAAGATTAATTTTTGAAGACTCGTTAAGTGAGAATAGTGAATACGCGTTTGGAGTCAATAATCGATTCGATAATACAATAAGTTTGAAAAATTGAAGACTTGCACATTAGTCTTGAAATAGGTATTTTTATGTTTAAATGCTCAATTATTAGTTAGTGATACTATTGTTATAAGAATTTCTTAAAAATTTCGCTTTATCGCGCAAAAATTGGGAGTACGCGTTTTTACGCGCAAAATTAATGGAGGGGCTTAAACCTTTATTTTGGGACTATTAAGATGAATAATAATAGTATGAATGCAAGTGTATTAGAGGTTTAGTGCACTAGTGCAACAAACTCGAGAGGAATCGAGCACAAAACGCGCACGTGCGCGCGGGAGAAAGAGTTGACTTTTGAATTAATTAGAGCCACACATTTTAGTTTCTCTTGGAAGCTTCATTAGAGCCCAAAACACTATCTTTTTTTGCTCCATTCCAGTCATGCATATCAAGAAGAAAAGAACCAAATTTCTCCTCCAAGTTCTTCTTCATTTCATCACTAAATTTTCACCAAATCACCTCAAACTTTAACCACACATTGCAATCTATTTGGAGAGCAACTCAAGCTACAAAAATAGCTTCAAATCCATGGTTTTTCTTGAGCAAGGAGGACTGAAATTTCTGTCTTAATCATCTAAGAAAGTAAGTGACGATTAACCTTGCAAATCTTGACTTATGAAGGTTGTTTAGTACTTATGAGTTCATAATTTCTTATGGATAGTTTTAAATTGTTGAAAAATTGGTGAGCGAACTCTATGAACTCTCACTATGACTTGGTGGACTGATTTTGTGAGTTTTGATGTTAATAATGTTGGATTAGTGCTTAAATTAGTAGAAATGAGTGATATTATGGATGAAAGCTCAAAGGAAGTGAAGGGGAGAATTTTTCCATTTTTGCCCCTGTGAATGCCGTGACCTTTAGAACATTTTTTTGAAGTTCTATTGACTTGTTTATGATGTGTATATGTTGTATGGGTTGTGTGGAAGGTTTCCATAAAAAATTACGTGATTTGGTTGGCCAAATGTGGTGATTTCGAATTCAAAACTGGAATTTTTCCCATATTGCACTGGCAGTGTTTTTCAAACAGCTATAACTTTTTTGTTCCGACATCGAAATCCAGTGCCGTTTGTGGCATTAGAAACTAGACATTCCCAATTTTCCAACAGTACCAAATGCATGTCCTGATTCTACCTGAGTGAACCATACCAATCGTTTGAACATGACTGTCCTGTTCCGTGTCTGTACTGGAAGCCTTGTTATGAGCTGCGATTTGATGCTCAAATATGAAGTAGTTGTGGACAGATTTTTAAAATTATTTCTTCTAAGAAATTGTAGACATATGAATATAGTTTTCAACACCACCAACCACGCACAATTCCAAGTTGAATTGAGTGAGTTGTGGCCAAAATACGAAACTGACTCAGTGATGAAAAACCCTCTTTTGGCTAGTTGGATGCCTAAACTTTGATTGAGATTTGTTGTTTTGAAATTCTTGGTGTTAACCACCTATCACATGTATCTTGGATGTTTTCTAGACAATGTCTACACAAATGAATCATATTTGAGATGTTTTGTTGGCCAAATGTTTGGAGAAAAGGAAAACAGAACTACAAGGCAGTTTTGCCTTGGAAATTCTTGGAGTTTTAATGATTCGGTTAACTGACTTTCCATGCGAATTTTTGCACGAAAATTTACAGAGAAATATCCCTTAGATGGAAGTGTAATACTGTCAAATTTGATGCCATTCCGAATCCATTTCAATATCCAACTAAAGTGCCAAAACTCAAGCTTTAAACCTGGAAAACTCTTGTTTGTAGAGGAAATTTCAGTGACTTGGAGCCACTATATATTGGTACTCAAAACTCCAATTCTTGTCCCACTTGTTTTATTTTAAAATTTGATTGTAACTCTAATTGAGTTTCAAATTTAAGGGGCTATTTCACATTGTGTGAATTTTGCCAAATTTTCAAACTTTGCCGAAAATCAACCCAAATCTGTCTTGGCATTCCAGAACAGCCATTTTGAGCCAAATTTTGGATATCTTTCATCTGGAATCACGGAAAGATGTCTTCTAGGAACTTTTAGTATTTTAGAAATAGTTTCCAACGATACCAAATTTTCCAATTTTGAACTTATAGAGAGTGAGATACGATTTTTCAAAATTCGTGTAACAAATCTGAAAATTTTTAACTTAAAGGAAATGGAGTTTATCAAACATTCTCTTTTCCCTCGATATCACTCGATCGTTTTACACTCGATTTCAAATATAAAAATCAGATTTTTGCTTGTGTTTTAAACCCCACTTTTGAGTCTCGATTTACGAGTAATTAAGACTCATTTTTCATGAGATTTTCTTATATTGTACTCTAGTACAATCTTAGAAAATAATTGGGGTTTCTAAGTAGTAGTTCGTTATTACTTGCTCAGGCACACAAGAGGACCTTCAAGAGGATCCCACGGTGGACGCCTGAACCTTCGAGTGACAATTTCTTCTTTGGTTACTTGGTGAGTGTGAAGTGTATGCGAACTTGATACCTGCTTAACTGTTGTTAATGATTGAAAATTTTGAAAATGGAGTCGAGTGTGTACTTTACTGCACTCGTTCTCATTTGAAATGAATGACTCATGATTGAATTGATTGAACTGAAATGAATGACTTATGATTGAATTGATTGAACTGAAATGAATGATTGAATGATTGAATGAAATGAAATGGCATGTTATGGCTGCATACGTCGTTGGAGTGAATCTCCTCGACTCACAAATGTTATATGGGGGACGCCCAAACTCATAGGCCGAACTTGGGACTTGAGCCGGCATGGGCCTAGTCGGGAACCTCGGTGAGCTATGAGAATTACATGATAAGTTTGATCTATTGGAGAGATCTTGCTTGGCATACTTGTGGAGTATCGCCTTATAAATGTTGTGCGGGCACAGTGCAGTGTACGATGGACGGACCTGAGAAGTAAGTGGAGTTCTACGGATTGGAAATACCAACCCGATTGACGGAGTGTCATCACGGGAAGGTATACGATTAAGATCTGACAAAGAACATAGAATTTAGCTCCGAAGAGCTACCATATCATTGAATTGTTTCTGTTTATATTTTCATTTGAATTGTTAATTACTCAAATGTTATAGTTCTCTTGTTAATTAGGATTGGTATTTGGACAACGTACTTGCATGTGTGTTTCTTGGCCTCACGAGCAATTGCTCACTACATAGATTTGTTTTCCTTAACAGGGATGGACTTGAAGTGAAACTCAAAGAAACCCTTGGGATGTACTTTTATATTAGGGTTTCAAATGTAATTGACTAGATTTTTTACGGTTGTATATTTTTGGGAATTGATGTATCTTTTGGGTACCCTAATGTAAGAATTAGGTGACTTATGTATCTTGAACTTATGATGTAAGATTGGATATTATTTATAGAAGTTTCCGCACTTATTATACTTTGGCTTGTCATTTTGGGATACTATTATATTAAGCTTGAACGGGATTTGTAACGAGTCTTGGCGAGAGTTGGGCAGGCGTTCCGCGAAGACCTTTTGGTTTGCCTAAGGGCGAAGTGGGGGCGTCACATGAAGTATTCATTCACAAATGAAAATCTTACAACGAACTTCACACCACCAAGAGTACAAATCTTTTTTGAAGAGTATTTTTCCACTAAAATCACTCTTGATCTGATGTAGTCTCAATGAGCAAAGTTATTTGAAATTTTTGACCATGCTCTATTTATAGGAGACCAAGAAAGTGCTTCATTAATGCTTCCAACGGATAGAAATTAGGTGAAAAGTCAACTAGCCGTTAGGAGTATCGAAATTCCGGTACATCCAAAGCATGCGTCCGACAGCAGGTAGTGAGTTTGAAAAATCTTCTTTAATTCTATCGGACGTCCGGTATTGTCTTTGTGAGCTTCTGGCAGCTTTCGTCAAGTTTGAAGGATCCTATCGGACATCCGATGCTTGCGTCCGATCGAAATCAGTGAACTAGGGGAAATGTGTTATTTCCTTCGGACGTCCAGTGATGGAATTTTTCATGCGTCCGAAGTTGCGCAATGATTATCGAACGTCCAATCCAGTCTTCACAAGCGTTCAACAGCTTTCAGCACACTTTGTCTCTTTCAATTGTATTTAATCTTTGAATCTGATTTGTTTCATTGCTGAAAACATCTTTGAGGAGATATTAGTACTATCTATTTATTTTGTAAACATCAAAAGAAAGGGATCAAGATCAATACCATTTAGTTGATTTATGTTTGTGTCAAGCGTTCAGTAGAGCATTCCTCTTTCTTAATCTTTGAATAAATTTTGGGTTGTTAGACTCTTATATCAGTTTTACAATGGGGGAATAAATTTTGCATTTAACAAATCTTAATAAGTGTGCTTATACTTTGAACAAATTTTGCTCTCAATATTAATGTGTGTGCCTATGATTTTTCTCCACAAGTACGGTTGTTATTGCCACTGTATTACGATTGTCATAATTATAACTAGTGAATAATGTGCTAATTTTCAATGTCATTTAATACTCCTTCGTTGGGTTTACGTTAGAATACTATTCTGGTAGTTATCGCTTAACATCAACTTTAGATAATATGCTAATTTTAATGTCATTCAATACTTCTTCGTTGGGTTTATGTTAGATTACTGTTCTGGTAGCTATCGCACAACATAATCTGTTGCATCCTTGTAAACCATTTTAATAATTCTTTTGTAGATCTTCCACCTAATAAAGAACCATTAGATTGGAATACAAGAATAAAGATAGCAGCAGATGTGGCCAAAGGTTTGGAGTATCTTCATGATAAGGCAAATCCTTCTGCCATTTATAGGGATTTCAAGTCATCTAACATATTTCTGGATGAAAGGTTTGTTCCAAAACTTTCAGACTTTAGGCTGGCAAAACTTGGCCTTGCTGGAGACAAGTTGCATGTCTCCACAAGGGTCATGGGAACTTATGGTTATTGTGCTCTTGAGTGTGCTATGACTGGGCAATTGACAGTGAAATTTGATGTCTATAGTTTTGGGGTTGTCTTCCTGGAACTTATCATTGGACAGGTGTTTTTTTCTCCTTTCTTCCAAAGCATTGGTTTTATGTGTTCAATTTGTTTTTATTTATAAAGTTTAAACTACCAAGTTACCTTGAGGCATATTTTGTAATTATAATTTATCTATAGTACTGGAAGCCAGTAATATATTATTTCACTTTTTTATTGGTTGAAAAAAAATATGAAAGTGCTATATTTGCAAAAATTAGAATAGATCATAATAAGGCCCTTGTGAAACTATGGTGGAAGTTGTTTCTTTTTGAAAATTTTTAACTCATAAGAAAAGTGTTAGGGTAATTGGTGTAAAAGATATGATTTGGAAGGTATATATTTGTTAATGAATCTTAATAAGATGAAGCTTTTGAAGCAAGTCTAAGGGATAACCCTGAATTCTATGAATTACTTTTTTATCTTCTTGTGAGCTTGTGTATTTATTTTTAACTAAGAAACTAATGTGTATGAAGATTGAATGCTTAAGTGGGTTTGAATGTTTTTCTAAGAGTCTTTGTTGTGACTATTTGGGTTGATTTTCTAAATTTTAATGTTTGGATTTTTGGTTGGTGGCAGTTGAGACTTGGGAGTTTGTTTCATGAGGAAGAATTACTGGGAATACGTTTGTCTCTTTCTTTATTTCTTCTCTATTTGAACAATCTATTCCAATGCTTCCCTATTCAGCTAGCTTCTTGTTTTATTTTTAAAACTTGTGTTGCCTTTCTTTCTATTGTGGTTATGAAGCAATTGTAGAGTTGTAGGTAGTCTTTTTGCCCTACAAATGCTTATTTGATGGCTCCAAGCAGATTCAAGAATAACACTTAAGCCTTCATGAGTTATGCATAAAAAATGCTAAATTTGAAAATTAATATGGTTATGCATGTAGTTTTCTATTCCATGCTTCTACTTTATCTAGAATACCAAGAACATTATTTAACCTTCTTTCTATTCATTATTGTTATATTGCTTTCTCAAGAATGACATGGTCTTCTTGAGAATCAAGGGAAATTTATCCTATGATTCCATGGCTTTCTGCACTTCCCAATCATATATTCTCATGTCATGGACACTACCTTTGCCTATGTTTTCAAGCATTACATCCAATGTTGAAGCATTTGCTTTCTTGTTCAGCCAGCAGCCCAATTTATATACTATCACCTCCTCCATAAATCAGTTTCTTCAGTACGATTGGATATCATTTGTTTCTTTCTATCAGTTTTATACAAGTCGCTCAAAACACAGCCTGGTAGGTGCTTTCCTTTATACAATTTGTTCACAACTACATTCTTTAGTGATCTAACAAATATTTGTTTTTTTAAATAGACCCTTCCACAATATGCTGACCTTCGACTACATGAAGGCACAACACCAATAGTAATTCTTACAAGCGGCTATAAAACGTATTGCATTGGAAATGAAACAAAGATCCTTCGACAAGAATTAGGCCACTTTCGCAGTCGAACATGCTCTTTGCCTTGGAGACATATTGCTTTTTATTTCACAATCTGCCACCTCTTTTGGTGTTATCATATTCAACAAAAAAGGCATTGAAAAACTATAGCATTTAATTTCACTATTCACCTACATTAAGTTACTAAGTACCGCAATAATCTTCGAGAACAAATTGTAGTTAATAAGTACTAGAACTAAGCTCTATGCCACTTCCCATTATGTATCTTGTTCTATTCTTAAGAGCTTTCTTTATATGAAAGTATTTCCATTGTATATCTTGTTTTGTTCGATTTCTATCTATCTTTGTATGAAATGTAGTATATGTTCGTGCTTATATTGTGTGTGTAACCCATACAGCAAAAACCAAAAAAAAAAACCATTAACCTAACCAACTATATCCACCTCCGGTATTTTCTTTCCACATTATTTGCTCGTCTGGGCATCTTCTTTTTCTATACCACCGCGCACCACGCGATTTATACCTTCTAGTGCCTACCAACACATCTCTTGTCCTTGTTATGCAGAGTGGTCAAGCAATTGTATCTCTAGTGCACTCCTCTGCTTTTCATCATCAACCGAGTGGTTTATCATGAGAGGCTTACCCCATCTAGGATAGGATCGCTTGGCAAAAGTAGTGGATGGAGCCTTACTAGGAGTGAAGTATTCGACCATCTATAGAATAAGTGATAAACCCATCAAGAAACCCGAGAACTCGTGGATATAGTCAAGGCAATCACCTAACTGATAATCAAGATGAATTGTACTTGTGCCACACCTTAGAAAGAGCCCTTACCTGTCATGTAACCCAATGTGGGTACAGGGATAGGTATGGAAATGAAGTCATGCTCGAATGTAGGAATACATAAAGGTACGAAGAAAGTTTTAGTAAGGGAACTGGGGTATAGACAGGGGATCGTCTCTGACATGGACAAAAATTCAAGTATCCTAACTAACTGGCACATCAACATGACATGGAACCATGCCCCGGTTGCAAGGCTTGTCTCCTTGAATATATCCACGTACTTGCCTAAATAGACGCTCAACAAGCACATCGAATGGGGACATCCTGAGTGGTAGACAGCTCGACTCCCTGATGGTCAATAGGCCTAAGTGGCATCTGCGTCCTCTTATTCAGGTACTGCAATATCCTAAATGCCTCCTCTCGTATCAACATTGTGATAGCCCCACCTTCCCCTAGGATGAACCAAAGGGTTCGGCGGGCTGCCTGCCCAACTCGCACCAGGACTCACTAATACGATCAAATAAAATACTTCTGAAATACTTAAATAACAATTCCACAGCTTCTAACATAACTGAGTTCAACTTACAACCTGACTAATAAAAATATGATCCAACGTACTTAAGATACAATCAAAGTTCGCCTTACAAGCTTCCAAAATATCAAATTTAAAGTTTAACAACCCAAAACAAGATACAAAAGAAACAAGGTCACACCCTAACTGACTGCGGATTCACTCGGGTTCTTAATTCTTGTTAAGGAAAACAAATTTGAAAGAATAAGCTAACACTCAGTGAGTTCCAAAAAGGCATACAGTCACATAGAACAGTTCAAATTACGCTTCAAACTCACAATTCAAAACGAGTAAATAAATTGATTAACAATATGAAGGGGGTAACAGGTGGCTCTCAGAAGCCAATGTCCACGAATCTTGATCTTATTTCACGTAGTTGACACTCCGTCGACTTTCAAATTTTATCACTATGTAGAACTCCACTTATTTCATTCTCCTTCTAATGACTCCCCCCACCAGGCCCGAAATCCAAAACACTTACTTAAATGGGTATTGTTTGAGCATACCATAGTTTTCATTTCAACGGAGACGAGTCTAAATGCTAAGTCCAATGAATATAAAACACTTTCCTATGGCTCATCAAATCTCCTCGACCAAGTCCCATAATTGGCTCGAATCGACAGACTCACCCATAGGACTTAGGAATTTCCAAGAATTAACATGCACAATCAATCACTGATCGTTGATGGGATAACAACCCAGATGACATCACAACACTTCAACAATTCAAAATACTATTCATCCCAGTCACAACATCAAATTCACATCTAAGTCACATTTGCAAATTCAAGACAGATAACATGCATGGAACTCACCAATAAATCAAAACTCGGAATCCAAATTAGGATCGATATCACAGTTTTCAATCACTCCTATAAACACGTAAAAAGAGACAATAAGTTTCGCCCCCAACAATTCGCGAAACTAAACCAAATTCACTTGAACTTGACACATATGCTCGAGTTATGAAAATAATATGTATCTAGAATAGTTTTCCTCAAAATTCGATGCGTGAAAACACAAAAAGTCTCGAGTTCACCACTACTGCCCGGATAGTTTTTAGCCCAAAATTAGTGAAATAGAAATGACTTTTAACCGTTAAAATTCCTAACTTTCAACTCCAATTCAACATATAATCATAATTTAACATAATACCAAGTCACTTGAGTGACATTTAGTCAACAAGGACACAAAAATGTCGAAAATGAAGATGAGAAATTAACCCTCTTCATTCGGCTAGTTCATCCAAAAATTTCTCAAGAATTTCGCCAATAGAACAACCATTTAACTAACAAAAACTCATTCAATTCTCTAAGGATTCCATCAATCATTAGTCCTTGGTTATCAAAAGACAATTTTGAAGCAAATCCAACCAACAAATCTAGAGTTATGCTAGTATTTTAACCACTAGAACATTTAGTGATATAACTTTAAGAAATTTACTAGATCTACCATAAATCAAGTGAATCTAACATTTCATGACTAGAAATTAGAGATTAAGGGTGATTTTCAGTTCTTACCTTAAGATCTAACTAGATCTAGGGTGATTCAACCTCAAAACTTCCTTCCAAAATTCACCCCTTCAAGTTTTCTCAAGAAAGGTCAAATCTTCTAGATTACTTGGGTGATTTCTTTCACAAATCCACAAGGAGTAAGATAAATGGTGTCCCTTCTCTCTTGGTTGCTCTCTCTCTCTCTCTCTCTCTCTCAGCTCTCTCACCCTCCCTCGATCCCCTCTCTCTCTCTCGGCCTTCAACAAGAAAAGAAGAAAAAGAAGAAGAAAAATTGTGGTGGTTGATGGGTTTTCAAGTGATTTTCAAGAGCAAGATGGAGAGCTCTCAAGTCTCCCTCTCTTTCTCTCTCTCAAAATTTCGGTTAGCTAAAGGGGGAAGAGAGAAAATGAATTCTCAAGTCTAGTTTCTTCCTTTAAAGTGTGGTAAGAGGACCACCTTACCTACTCGCTTATGTGTCGCATTCTCATGCGACATCTTATTCTTAACTAGATTTCCCTCAACCAACATTATCCTATTATTTTTCTATTTCTTTAAAGTCTCTACATGTTCTAGATTTCTCCTTAAGACTAAATTTCACGTCACCCTTGCAAAATTTCACACTTAATGCTAGCCAAACGATAACCGGGTAATTAATAATAAAAATTCACCTAAGATATAAAATGACATTTTAATAGATGAAAATACAAAGAATTTAGCAAAACCACATAATATAAATATTTTCATCATTATTATTTACCTTT